CATCTTCCACCTGCCTTTCTGCAGCTCCCGCCTGCTGGTGCACTTGTTCCCTGACATCACGGCACTGTTGCACCGGGCCTGCAAGCGGAGCTATGCCAATGAGCTGTCCTTGCTGGGCGCCTGCCTCGTACTGCTGCTGATGCCCTCGCTGCTCATTCTGGCCTCCTATGGCGCCATCACCACCTCCCTGCGCCGCCTGCGCTGCCCCGGGAGCCAGCACAAGGCTGCCTCCACCTGCACCTTGCACCTGGCTGTCACCCTGCTACACTATGGCTGCACCACCTTCATGTACATGTGGCCCAAGGCCAGCTACTCCCCGCAGCAGGCCCGCACGCTGGCGCTCGTCTACACCAACATCATGCCGCTGCTCTACCCGCTCATTTACAGCCTGTGTAACCGAGAGATCACTGCCACCATCCGCCAGATGCTGGGGCAGAGGAGGCCTGGCCACGCCCCAGGTCAGGGTGTGTGTGAGCCCTGACAACAGGCAGGCTGGAGCAGGGAGCTCCGCACCCCTAAATTTTCCTCCCTCAGGTGGTGTCCGCCTAGGAAACACCACCGAGGGGGGCGCTCAAGGACCGAATTCAGGAAAGCGAACCAGGAAATATGTCCATGCACAGGGCATCTCCCTGCAGTTGCCCCATCCTCCACTCCTCCCTGAAGGAATGGCCAAAATCAGTAGAGCCCCAGACTTGCATTTAGTGGTTCCCTAATTACCTGTTGGTTCTCCCCATGTGCTGGGGCCTCTGCAAGGTGGTGGACTTGCACTGCTGAAGGCACAACTCATGACCTCCAGGAGCTCCCAGCCATAGCGAGCAGTGATGTGAAGCGTGAACCACAGATGTATGGAGAGGAGAGTGGGGAGAGGGGGATAATGGGCGCTTCTATTTTGAACATGCAAATTAAAATGCTGCCAGGACAAGCCAAAGAAGATGCTGAATGACGAGGTAAACACACCCATCTAGAGCACAGGAAGAGATTCAAGAGGAAGGACAGATTTGGAATTATAGGTGGCCACTGGAACCATGGAATGGGTAATATTACCCTCCAAAAAGATACAGTTGCAATGTGATGAGATTCTGGGTGATTTTTATTTTTTTGCTTGTGTATCTTCCAAATTTTCCCTAATCATTTTCAATGGAGATTATTTTTATATATAAACAATCATTATATAAAACAAATTATATTGGAGTACCCTCAGGGAATCAGACTTCTTACCCTCCATCCCCAAGATAAAGGCCTGAGTCCCACTTGTCTGAAACTGTTTCCTTACCAATAGTTCTGGAGTAAAGTGGAGCTTTATAGGGGTGGATCCGGTACTGTGCCTTGTAGTACAAAAGTAGGAGGGCTCTGAAGAGCTTTTAATCCACCAGTAGTGTTGGGGACGGTCTTTGTCTTCTCACATGCTTGTAGGCAGAATGGGAAAGCAACTTCCCCCATGTCTGAACGCAGCATGGGAAAGCACAAGCTTGAGAACAACCGGTGCAGTCCTTGAAAGTTATTTGCCCACAAAAACATATTTTGTCCTCAAAGAGGAGCCAAGACTCCTCACTCTGAAAATAGGGAGACCTTGAAGATGTGTGGAAACACCGCCCCTGCTTCTGGCCTGCCTTCCCCCACTTGCAGATTAACAACCTGTTTA